GCGTGATTTATTATTGGATAATTTCACGTGATCGAAAAAATTTTATTAGTAATTTGGTGGCGATCCTGGGGAAGTTTGATCTTCTGCATAAGCGGAAAACTACGGGCACAACATTTCACGTGACTTATAGACACAACATCGGCCTGAGTTATGGTTTGAGTTAACGTTAGGGTAAGAGTATTTTAGTAATGCAGGTCATTGTTGTGCCCATAAGCGTGAAATTTTGTGCCCGTAGCAATCTCCTCTGCATAAACACCTAGCATCACTATCGTCGTTGGTATTAGAGTTAGGGTTAGGGTATGAAAGTTTTTTTTAATTTTACATATATTACATCTAATTCCACTAGGCAATTAAAATATGGTCATACCCAGACCCTAACCCCAACATTAACAGTGAAATTTTTTAGTTGGTGATGCTAGGGTTCTATAAGCATTTTAGATCATGTGATCACATGATTTTCAGCCATCATCCACGACAATAATTTTGTCTACCTTTGCATTAGTTTTGAGATGAGACCGATTAGAATCCGATCAAATTATACTACATTGTTCGGTCTCATCTAAAGTACTCAAAAATAGCAACTTTTTCTACTATAATTTACAAACTTTCTCAAAGTCGTTTGTAATTATTGCGGGAACAATTAATATCCTAGCATATGTAATGGGCTGTTTAATGATATTAAACTCCCAAATATTTGCTATTTTAGATACTGCTAACGTATACAATTTTGGTGAGGTAATGATGGGTATTGATTTTAATCTTGTGGTATATATTCTTAGCATATGCTAATAAACTAACTATACTAATTATCTTTTGTTTTAAATAACGAAAAGAGTGAACAATTTCTTAAAGAATATGTCGCTGATAAACGTTCTCAAGTTGTACTCGCCACCAAATATTCTTGTATGTTAACCCAGTTATTTGCTTTACTGTAAAAATTCCTTATTTATGTTATATATTTACCTTTTATTCACAAATTTATAAAGTGAATCCTACCTCTATGGCGCCAAATGTCAAGCTTAACCCAAATGCTGGTAATTTTATTACTCATTTGATAAGAATGTATATGCTGATAAAAGTTCTAAAAATGATTTTTTTTTTTTAAAGGTGGAAACCACCGCAAATCTCTTACCGAAAATCTCAATGAAAGTCTTAAACGATTAGGCACTGGATATATTGATCTTATGTATGTTCATATTTGGGATTTTCGAACTCCAATTGAAGAAGTAATGCGTTCTTTAGATGATGTAATTAGAAGTGGCAAGGTATGTCATTTGATATCTAATACTTACATGCTGATTCGCTTAATTTATTATTAGTATTTAATACAAATCCTATAGGTACTCTATGTCGCTATTAGTGATTCACCATCATGGGTGATTAGTAGTGCAAATATGTTGGCCGATTTACGTGGTTGGAGGTAATACCATGCATATAACGATATAAATCTTACATATTTTAAATATAAAAAAAGTAACAAAACTTGTTAATTTATTTAAGTCGATTTATTGGATTGCAAACGCGATATAATTTATTAGATCGATCTTTGGAATTTGATCTACAACCTGCTTGTGCTGAATATAATGTGCGTCAATATGTTTTGTTATATTTACTCTTGACTAGCATGAGAACTAACTTGTTAATGTTTACCATAAAGGTTGGAATTATTCCTTGGGGATGTGTTGCTGAAGGGTAGTTATCGTTAAATTGTTTTTTTTGATGCACTATGTGATTATGCATATTTTGTTCAGTGCTAATTGATATTTTCATTGTGTTATTTTTATCTAGATTCTTAACTGGAAAATACACTAGGGAATCAGTTGCTGAAAAAGTTAGTGAGATGACCAGCAGTTTCAGAAGCGCTGCAATTACTAAAGCAGCAAATGAAGAACAAAATTGGAAAATCCTCGATGAAGTTATAGCTATTGCTGCTGAAACCAAAAGAAGTCCTGTCCAGGTAACTTCATGAATTAAATTGTTTAGTATCACTTATATATATATGTTTTGTTTTATTAATATTCCTTTTTTTATTCCCCTTTTTATTAAATTAAAAGGTCACTTTGAATTGGATGTCACAAAAACCTGGTATTACTTCGCCTCTTATCGGTGCTAGAACAAAAGCTCAATTAATTGAAAATCTTAGCGCTCTTGAATTCAAGTAAAATATTATAAATCTTCAATTATTTTTGTATAAAACTGAACTTCAATTATTTTTGTATAAAACTGAACCTCACTTATTATTTATATGTTGATTTAAATAATAGACTTACGCCTGAAAAAATGGCAAGGTTAGATGCTGTTTCTGCACCAAAGGTTATTCCATTTCCACAGTATATGTATCAAAATTTAGATTTTTTTGTTGGTAAAGGAATACAAATTCCTGACAAATATAAGCCCGCATTGAATTTGAAGACGCAGGAAAATTTGTAGGCGGGGATGCCTTGGACTTGGAGCATCATGCCTAGGTATGTGCCCATAATTATTTATCAAGTATGAATTAGTATTTATATTATTCCTTAAACCGTTTGAAATTTAGAACAAATTTGTCCTGAATTTTACTATAAAAATATTTCTGATTTATTGTTTAAAAAATTTAATATATTTAAATAAATTTTTTTGATAATATTTGAGGATAAAGATTATATATGAGTGTCGCTAAAAGAAACACGAAAATTTAAATATAAGCCATATTCAAATTTACGGGTTTTCTTATTTGCTTATAAGTCAAAAAATATTTTATAATTTTTTAATAAGTTTTTTAAATATTAATTTTAGATTTATAGGTTTTTAATAAAAAAATTGTAGTTTAAATAAAGAATTATAATTTCATTATTGCAACTTATATGATTTACTTGTAAAAATTATAACTTGTATTATAAGTAATAAAAGTTATAAACAAAAAAACATATAAAGATTTCAAAATAAAAAAAAACATTAGACCTTTATTATTTTTAAGTTTTTTTTAATAAATTTAAATTTTTTTAATAAAATTATTAAAATATATATTAAAATCAGTGTTGGGCATTTGACCAATTTGACCAATTTTTTAATTATTAATAAAAATTTTTAGTTAAAAGATATTATTTAAATTTAAATTTAATAAATTATTATATAAACTATATTGTTTAATTTAGTTAAAAATAAAATTAATGTTGCAGCTGAAGCTGAAAACGGCTAAAGCTGAAAATTTTAAATATTTTAATATGAAATTTTCAAATTTTTTGGGGTGCATTTTTTAGCTTTTTTTATGGTTAGGTTAGGATTTAGAGTTAGTTTTGATAATGAAAAAGTATAAGTAGATTTTGGCAAGGTTTATATTTTTAAATCAGGGTCTCTGATTTCCTGCTTCAGCCATATTCAGCATCAGCCATGATAATTAATAATAAATAAAAAATTTTAATAATAGCTAAAAAAAATGGTCAAATTGGTCAAATTGGCAAATTGGTCAAATACCCAACACTGATTAAAATATATTTATTACTTAGAAAATATAGATGTTCTATAGAATAGGTGGGCAATATAAGAAATAAGCTTCACTAATGATTAGTAATCATTAATTTTTTAATAGCGGAGTTGCGAAGTTTGTGGAGTTTGCCCACCTATTCTATAGAACATCCAAAAATATATTTAGAATTTTATTTTAAAAATAAAAATTTTAAAAACTTTCAATACACAGTATTTTGGTCATTAATTGAAAATTTATATATGTTGTAGTTAATTCAAATTTATCAACTAGACAGGATAATGAACAATTATATATAATATTAGAGAAAATAAAGCTATATAATGTGGGAGGAAATAAAGTTATAAAATTCAAAGAAATTTACCTCAAAAATTTTTAGACTTTATACCTACTTTTATATATACTGCATATTAAAATTTTAAATTTTAACCAAACTTTTACATACCAGGTTAGCAAAAATACTATTCTTGATGAATTGTATTCTTTCTAATGAGGCAAAGAAAGAAATTTATTTATATATTATTCTATAGAATATTCTTTTAATATTCATTTTTGAAATATTTTTAATTGTATAAAAAATAGTAAATTTACAAATAAGGGCCCAGAAAGTGAAAATAATTATAAATACGGGCCCAAATTAAAAATAATTACATATTTGAGCCTAATTTTTAAAAAAATATTACATATAAGGGCCCAAATCGATTGATGACTGAAAAAATGTGATCGCGGATTACTGTGCCACAAAGTACTATGATATTTGAATTGCAATGATAGCAAAACACGATTATTATGAACATGTAGAGTTATCTACACACCGATTATTAAATTGAAGGATAAATGAAGTGTTGGTTATAATCATCTTCGCTTAAATATTGTATATAAAATAGCATTAAACTAGCACAATTATTTATAAGGTGAAGTTTCAACAAAGTAGCTCTTTAGAGCTAAACAAACATCTTCTATATTAGTAAATATCATGCCAACTCGCAGTGCTTTACTTGACATCATAGTGATTTGTTATAACAATA